CAGGGGAGTTATGTGATCAAGTTTGCATTTTAGAGAGTAACTCCTCGATGCCTTGAAACATGGAGAGAGATGGAACAGGGCAGCCATTATTGCATGATCACAAAACATAAGTATGCTTTTGATTGTAAAGTAAGTCACAAGTACATTGTTTTATGGTGTGTTAAAATTCCAAAAGTTTTAAAAAATATTTAAAAAATTAGAGTAGACTCTAGGCTATAATATTACTCTTAAGTACAACCTAGGCTTTTTCTTACACTAGAAAGTGATCATGTAACAGCTCAACCATTTGGAATTGTGTAACTGTGGGATTATGTATGCAAGAGTCTTCATTCATATGTCTTGTAGCAGAGGTAATGTTATATGCTCACCAAATCTCATTTTCCTTTCCTTTTTTTGGATGTACAGAAAGACTACATTTCCCTATCTTCACTGGCATAAATTTGGGCCTGTATGACTGTTTTGGCCAATGAGATTGGCCCTTAAAAGTGGCACATAGTTTTCAGTCTCTTTTTTTCTTTCATTGGCTGCATGTCCAACAGAAATGTAAGGCTGGCCGCATTTTAATTTGAAATGTCTAGTAGCCATATTAAAAAAGTAAAAAGAAACACTTGAATTTCTAATAATTTAAATTTTGGCAATATATTTAACTCAATACGTTAAACCTTGGTTCTCGAACATCTCTCATCTCTAAAAATTCAGTTCTTGACCAAGTTGTTCACAGGAAAAAATGTCTCCATTTTCGGAAAAAACAGTTTTTGACCTGACAACCCTTTCATGCTGACGCATCAACATGAAAAAAGCATCTCTCCGGCAACAGGCAAAGGAGAGAATGCGAGTCAGTTTACTGCTAAACACCTCAGGAAATTGTGCTGTGAATATTTTTCATAGTTTTTTGTTGTTTTGCTTTTGTTGCTGGTGAAATGGATGGTTAGTACAATTTTAAAACATAAAGAGGCCATCAAGAGTGCTGATGTTGCTAAGGCTGTGAAAATGAGGAGGCGTGCAGAAGGTAGCCATCCATGTTTCTGTCTCTCATCAATGTTTCTATCTCTCTATTCCTCTCCCTTCCTCTCTCTCTAAAAATCAATAAAAACATATTTTTAAAAAAAGTGCTCACAAAACAAAGATCACAGGCAATTGAAGAGGTGGAAAAACTGTTGTTGATTTGGATAAACAAGAAAGAGTTAATCGGTGACAGCATTTTACAGGAAATGATATGTGAAAAAGCTGAGATGCTGTACCCCTGGAATGAGTGCTAAAAGTGATTCTTTTGAGGCTAGTAGGGGGTAATTTGATAAATATAAGAAAATAAGTGTTTGTTTATAGATTAAACAGTACCTTAGACATGTACTCTATATAAAAAAGGTTAGAACAAGGAATCATTTAGGGGTCTTTAACAGATTAATTCAACTTACATTATTTCTAATGGAAAAAAATGATTCAGTTTTTGAACAAATTGCTTCCTGAACAGCCATCCGGAATGAATGAAGTTTGAGAGCTGAGGTTCCACTGTACTTCCAAAATATTATAATTTCAACATTTATCAATATAAAAATTAGCAAGGTATTTTACATTTAAAAATTATTGATGTGGGTGAAGGTGTTCAGAAGGTACAGATTTTGCCCTATCCAGATTTGCTCAGTGGTTAGAGCGTCAGTCCACTGACTGAATGGTCCCTGGTTCAATTCCAGCCAAGAGCATGTACCTGGGTTGCAGGCTCGATCCCTGGCCCCGGTTGGGGCGCGTGCGGGAAGCAACCAATCGATGTGTCTCTCTCACATCGATGTTTCTCTCTCCTTCTCCCTCTCCCTCCCTCTCTTTCTCTCTCTCTCTTTCTCCCTTCCACTCTTTCTGAAAAGCAATGGAAAAAATATCCTCAGGTGAGGATTACAAAAACTCAACAACAACAAAAGGTACAGATTTCCAGTTATAAAGTAAATAAGTCCCAGGGATGTAATGTATAGCATAGCAACTATAATTAACAATACTGTATTGAATATTTGAAAGTTGCTAAGAGAAATCTTAAAAGTTCTCATCATAAGAAAAGAAAGTTATAACTATGTGTGATAATGGATATTAACTAAATTTATTGTGGTAATCATTTTACAATATGTACATATATGAAATCCTTAGGTTACACACCTAAAACTAATACAATGTTATATGTCAATTTTCTCTTTTTTTTTTAAAGGGGAAAATATCTGAATTCCCAGAATTAAGGAGCCAGGCAGAATGGGTGAGGGGGCTCTCTGGGTCTCTGTTATAAGGGCACTAATCCCATTCATGCCCTCATGACCTAATCACCCCAATGGGCCCCCACCGCCTAATCTCATAGCTTTGGAGGTTAGGTTTCAACATATGATTGTTGGGGGGACAGACATATTCAGCCCATAACAACAGGGTAGGAATAGGGAAACAGGAGGGGAGAAGGTGGTAAAGGCATTCAAGGTATAGGGGTCCACAGGACACAGGCATTGAGGGCAAGAGCAGTATGGTGGCCACAACAAGGACTTCACTATGACTGTAGGGTAAACGTCCAAGAGGAAGTGGCGTGCGAGAGAGCTGGAGCAGGAGCAGGGCCAGGTTACAGAGGGCGCGTTTTGTCAGGTCTCATTTTGTGCCATAGATGCTGGAGTATGGACTGACGAGGACAGGAGCAACAGCAGCAAGGATAGGCAGGAAGCCGTCACAATAACTGAGGAAAGAAACGAGAAAAGATGAAGTCCTGAACCTGGGCAGGGAGGGGGTCAATCTGAGAACTTTCAGGAAGTGAAATCTAATGAGCTTGATGATGTGTGGGTGTTAGGAGTGAGGAAGAGAAAGAGGGAAGAGCTCAGGGCTGCCTCAGAGATTTCTAGCATAGGTGACTGGGTGGACAGTGGTGCTGGCTGGGACAATGAACATAACGAAGATAAAGATAAATGACAACGTGAGCAATGCTTATCAGGGGAGGGGAGACATGGAAGCAACTGCCTCTTCCCACCACAAAATTCCCAGAAATACTATTTAGTGGGAAGTAATGGTTCAGAACTATGGATTATATGTGTCCATGTCTTGCCCTCCATCCCAAAACAAAACTCAATTTTTATTTTTACCACCACCACTCAGGGAAAATTGGGAATTGAGCAACAGGGTGTTAGGGAGGGGCTTTGAAACCTGGAGGCTGTTCGAAGCTGCCTGTGGAACTCTTATAGAAAGACCGTGACAGGAGATGGCCAGGAGAATCAAGATGTAAGTGGTGAAGGCCTGGTTGGGGCGTGGCGTGGAGTAGAAGGGGTCAATGAGGAAAAAAAGGCGACATCTGTAATACTTCCAACAATAAAGATATGTTTAAAAAAAAGATGTAAGCAGACAAATGACAATGAAAGCAGAGGGGCTGGGGAAGTCAACCTCAGGGTTTGGGATTGGAGAAACAGCAGAGAAAAGCCATGGGCCTCTGAGTGGGGTGGAGCACACAGGCAGGAGAAGGAAGTGCGAAGATGGTCTTTCAAGAATCAGGGAGCCGGTGGGACCAGCCTGAGGACTCCAGGGGCCTCAGAAGTAGGGTAAGACAGCATGCTGGACCATAGCGTGGAAAAATGGTTGACTCGAAACTTGAAACTACTCTGGAATTGAATGTGATTCAGTTTTTGTTTTACTTGGGCTGAACTTTTCTCATACTTCAAGTTTGCTTTGCCTCAGTGGCTCTTTTCTGTGTCGTGGGATGCATTGGATCAGAGGCCCAGGGAAGGAGGGGTCATCCTAGGGATGTGGGCAGAGGAAGGGAAAAACGTTTCTTTCTAGATCTCGGGTGGCATTAATCTTCAAATGAAGCCTGAGTTTGAGGAGAGACTGAGTATTCTAGTCTGAAAACTCTGTCTTCTCCCAGAACTCCTCCCTTCGTGTCAAACCTCAGGTCACATTTTTGGGAGGACCTTTTCTTTTTCCTATATGATCTTTAATGAAAACATACCATTTTCCCAGGGCCATCATTTTATTTGCTTAATTCATTTTAGAATGCTGGTGTCCACACCATCGGTTAATCGTATGAGAGCCTTGGTTCTTTATTGTTTGGAAGGCACATGACATTGAGCACTTGGATTTGGGTGGGTCCAGGGCGTTGTTACTCAAAAGTATGCTTTGTTTTGCTCTATTGAAAAATTTGCATTCTTTTCCAAATAGAAAAGAGCTGAGCTGGCCAAAGTACTTTTTTTTTCTTCTTTCCCGAGAGGTAAACGAAAGCAAAAGTTTATTGAAGGAGAGACAAAGGGTCCCGCCACCTCAGCGAGAGGGTCCCAAACAGGTAGCCCTGGCTGGAGTACTTTTAATGAGGAGTATGAAAACAAATTTTCTTCCCAAATGTTTTTATTACAGATTGCTTTTATTATAAGGGTTTAACAGAGCAGAGAATTAGACTTGCTATCTCTTGTGAAACCTCAACAATTAAAAAAAATAAGTTAATAAATATGAAATTAGGTATAAGTCTTCCCCACCCCCAGCCATGTTATACACTCCTAAGAGACAGAGAAAATCTTGTATCCATATGTAGTACAAACTCAGAAATTTTCACCTGCCGTTTATTTCTATCTAGAATTTTCCTAGGCAGAACAATCACACCATTTCATCTTTCTCTGAAGACTTAAAAAACATAAATAGATCCATAAATAGCTCATATAAATATATTTACCTTTTAAATAATAAAATTCCTAAGTCTGGAATACCGTGTTCTTGAAAAATACAAAATAAGGCATGTAACTCATTAAAGTGGAATCTTATACCCCAGAGTTATCTCAGGGCCTCTTAAATACATAAATAACTTAAAGCCCTAGAAAAACAAGTCAGAAACAAACTGGCACTCAGTCTAAACCTTCTTCCTGGCAGAGAGGGAAAGATGATTCAGGTTCAATCTCTGAAACAAAGTGTTACTTCTGAATCTTCAGTTGAAAGTTTAAGAAATGGGGCTGGGTCTACTCTCCAGAAAGCCTAACTGATTCTGGGAGCTGGGATCAGACCCGAAACTCTTAAGCCACGTGGCGGACAATGGGGGTGACACAGGTGCAGCCCACATTCACCAGCATCTTCTCCAGCCGGAAGGATGGGGGGCAGTGCTGGGCCTCCCTGCGCAGGACCAGGATCTCCTGCTGGATGGGGACTGAGTTCAGGTGGTGGTCAATCTTCCCGTCAGGACCGACGCAGAACAAATGGCGGCACTTTGCCTCCCAGATCACATCGGGGTATCTCTCAGGGTCCTTATTGCAGCTACAGGGGGAGACAGAAGCCAGGAAGAAAGTGAATTCCTGGTAAAGCAGCAAGGAAGTCAAACAGGAATAACTGAAGGGAGACAAATTCAGAGGGCGACGAGGGATAGGCATGCAAGTTCTCTGAGACTGTTAGTCTGAAAGAGAGGGAGTTTCAGGAAACTTGGATTTTTAAGCATGTGAAATGTTATAGAAAAGAGACAATGACCAGTTTTCCCAGTTTCTTTGAAGCATGAACAAGACAAGATAGGCAGAGGCTACATAAGGGATTTCAGTTTGACATACAGGGTACTTTTATTAGGCTGCATTTGATATATGGATAAAGGCCAAGGGAATCTGACTTAGTTGTTAATCTGACTTAATGAAGTTTGTCTTTGAAACGTGGAATGCTTCAAAATTGTATCTGACAGCACGCTCCTGGAACAGAGCCCAGAGCTGATTAGAAGGGCTGGAAACAAAAGCTTAGGCCCCCGATAACCCTTTCTCCCTTCTCTCCTGCAGCCGAGTGAATGATTCGCTTTGAGTTTTAATCTATGTACTTGAACTATTCTTAGTAATGGGGAGAATGGAAGAAACCTTACAGTTAGGTGCATCTGTAGGTACCACATAATTAAGGCTTATTTGCATAAAGTCAAATGATCAGAATACATTTTTTTCCCCCCAATTCTTCCTGGGGGTCTAAATACTAGATGTACTAAGGATGCAGCAAATATAGATCTGCTGGGATGTAGACCAAGACTATCTAACCCAAATAGGGGTGGAAATACCCAATATGATATTTCTTCCTCCACTGAGATTCAAGCTATATTTTACCAGTGCTAATAAGATGAAAATGTGCATAAAAATCCCAGTCAATTACTAGTAATTTATAAGAAATCTCCATGGTAGCTCTTGTACAGAAAGAGAATTCAAGCATTAATCCCTATGATTAAATGTCTATTTTTAAAATAAAAAATAGACTTGGGGTATCATAAAGATTACAATGATGACCACCATTAATTTGGGTGGGTTTTTGGTATCATTGACAATGAGATCTAATAGGATAGGTATTGGGGGTGGGGAATGTCCTGTGCTCTAGCAAATAAGTCAGTATTATGAAAATTTGAGAATCATCGTTTTGCACAATGGCCCTTCTAGGTTTGACTGTTGATTCTGAGTGAATAAAAGTTTCCCTCAAGGTGATTTAACTGGCAGTCTGATGCATGAAACATAGAAGTAAACAGATTTTATCTGGGGCTCTTACGTACTGGAGAGTCCAAGGTGAGGTAGATCGTTTGTAGTAATCTAAGGGCCTTCTAGAAGTCACATTCCGGGTAAGGATGTTTAGGTTGACTCTCACGCTCTGAGGGGAGTTCTTGTCCTCAGTATTTGGGCATTCTGGATTTTGTGGGGTTATTGTTCCTGCCTTCACTATGGCCAACAGACTCAGCAGCAGCAACAGTGACTGGAACTGAATGGGAAAGGAGAGAGAGGTGGGAGACTGGATTAGTATGTGGTTTTCATTAACAAATTGTGATAACAATTGTATTGCTAATCACAGGGAACATACTATGTTCCAGGCCAATCTATTCTGAATTTTCATATCGGTTAAATAAAAAAATGGGATAGGTGACTAAAATAATGTTAAGACCACAGAGTTTTTACCAGTACAAACATTCATCTTTTGATTTAAGACACATTATTCATTGGCTAGCAGTAATTTTAGTAAAAATGACAAGTCATCATCCTGTCAGTACATGCATCGCTGTCAGGTCACTGGCATAATATTGACCTTGATTTTCTAGGAGGAAATGTCTTCCTGCATCATTGTGCTCTGTCTCAGAATTCTGTGAAACCCTCTGTGAAGGCAAATGTGCCCTTAAGAAAGGGCTATAGAAAATCCGGGTGTATCAGTATTTGTGTTAGAAATGGTGTTGGTACCACTGGCAAACATCTAACCAAAAACTGGATCCGCCTTATGTTTTTTTAGGCATATTTTGCAGTTTTCTAAATTTACATATATTGATTGTGTAATCAAATTACATTTGAAAAGAGTTATTTTAAAAATATAAGAACAGTTTACTTTAAACCACAGTTATACTCTACCTGATGAAAATAAATGGGTTTGACGTACCAAGACTATGGTATAATAATTGAATAATGGAAAGAAAATTCATTGCCACAACTTATTAAATCCTCAAGGATAGTAACCATTTTATTTTGGATTAAAAATAATGCTGCAGGAGAATTATATTAAATCACTTGTACTCAGAAAAGCAGATTTGCAATAAACATTCTTTCTTACTGCACGGCATTATGTGACACTTCTTTGTGTGGTTTAGCCCCAATATAGCTATCTTTCAGTTTTAATCTCATCTTTCAAACGGATGTGTATCAGTTCTTGAAAAATGCTATACAATGACAAGTATCTACCAAAAGTTTCATTTCCTATTCTACATGGTCTCCATAGTCAGAATCCAGAATTTCATGACCACAGTCGAGAAATAGTATCTGGTCCAAATCAATAAAAGCATTGCACGTTAGTGCAGGACTCACCACAGGGGAAGTTCTCACAGGAGCCATTGTAGTTTCTCTCGATTCGCTGGAGACAGATGAGCTTGTGCCTGCTGTGCGACGGATAAAGTGCTATGCTATCTTCTCTCTTTTTATAGGACTTTGATCCTTCTGTGGTCACTTACGTTGGTGTGTCGGAGTGGGTTCAGGGGTGACACCGTTTTGGTTAAACGTTCCATCCCCAAATGAGGTCAGAAAAGAACCTCCCCCTCACAACGAGTAAAATACGCTTGATACCATGAAGGAAACTGGGAAGGACAGAAATTGATGTTCCTAAAAACTATCTCCTCTCTTCATTCTTCAAGGAACTATTACTTGGCGGAAGCTGAGCAAAGATGGTCCACTTATGAGCTGATGTCATTTTGTTTATGGGCATATATGAAGCTGCCATGAGAGCTATGCTTTATTTTAATGGCTCATGGGAAAATAAAATTTGTTTGACATAACATTCAAGTTTTCTGGTGCCATGCACCTTGATTTCCCATTTGATAATTCCTTTCCTCATCATTTTCCCTAACCTGATGTTACAAAGGCCATTTCAGAAACTACTCAAAATCTCACCATATAAACAAACAAAAAAGGAATAAATAATTTGATGATAGGATATATATATATTTTTTGACTTCACACCTGCTTTGTCGAATGCTTGTTCTGCTAAGGAACTAATAACTAGGTTCAAGAGACATGAGGTTTACTATTAAATATACGTCTAACCAAGCAACTTGTTAGCTCATGCAATGCTCCAGGAGGAATGAGATGGAGGTGGAGGGAGGAGGTGTACACAGATGAAGGAAGGAAATGGAAATGTAGACAGAGACTGGAGAAAGGTGATAGGGGGAGAGAAACAGGGCAACGGAGAGTAGAGAATGAGAGGGTAAGAGAGAAGGATACGGTTTTCTCCTTCCTGTTCTGTACACTGGCTAATTGAGATAAACTTTGATTTCAGGTCCTTGGGAATAGTGTCTTCTTAGGAACTCTGAGGGCCAGCTTAAGGATGATAAAGAGGAGGGGTGAGTGGTTGGCTACTTATTACCCTCCCTTTGCCCCTTCTCTCCAGTGAGGTGAACACGGCTCCCAAGTTCTCTCCGCTGGTATCATACAATTCAGGGAGGCTGAACTGTGCTTTTTCTTGCCCCATTAGTTTGTGTACAGAACAAAAGGCAAACCCCTTAGCATATGAATTGATATTTGAGTTACTGTTTGAGATCTGCAACCTTTCTAGCTTCCCAGGACCTGGGATCATGGGTCCTGATTGTCCTCCTTCTAATAACCATATAATTTTGCTAAGGTACTATCTCTGAAACGCCCTTCTTCATCCTCAGCTTATCAAAACGCTACTTGTCCTTCCAGATCCTGATCAAGTGTGTCTTATATATCTGGAAGTCTCTCCTGAATATTTTAGTTGGAATGAGCAGCTCCCATAACGTGTAGCTTATACCTACCTCTCTAGTAACTTTTGCTTCATTTTGTATTGTGTTTTATTTGGCTGGAAAAAGTATGTTTAAGATATATGTGTGTGTGTNACCTACCTCTCTAGTAACTTTTGCTTCATTTTGTATTGTGTTTTATTTGGCTGGAAAAAGTATGTTTAAGATATGTGTGTGTGTGTGTGTATATATATATATATTTAAATATATCTTTATTGATTTCAGAGAGAGGAAAGGAGAGGGAGAGAGAGAGATAGAAGCATCAATGATGAGAGAGTTATTGATAGAGCCCGCAATCCGAGCATGTGCCCTGACTGGGAATCGAACACCCGATTGCCTGGATCCTAGGTCAATGCTCAACCACTGAGCCACACCCGGCCGGGCAAGATATGTATATATTTTGATTTTTAGATTTTACTGTAATCCTTCAAAGCCAGTGTATTGTTCATCTTTGTGACTCCCGTGGTGCTTAATGTCAAGCTTTATACAACAAAAGTCTTCACAGATTGCTTTCTTGTTGCTGATTTCTCTCTGATATATAGCTGTTTGTGCATATTTCTAGTGTATTGCATGACATTTGTTTACATATCTGTATTTTTTTTCTAGACTCTGAGCTGCCTAGAGAGAGGTAGCCACCTGATTAGTTTTTGTATAACCTAACATAGTGTCTAGAAAATAGTAACCCCTCAATGTTTTTACTGATTGACAATATGAATAATGTTATTTGAGTAGTTCAGAATCTTGAGTGTTCTTTTAGGGACCCAGTTGCATTCCAGTGACTGTATTGAGCTTTGTAATGTCCTGACTCTCCACCCTGACCCTTTTGGAAGCTGTGTGACAAGGTCGTAGTCTATTTTGGACCACCTGCAGTGGAGAAAGGGGTTCCTCACTTGCTGCTTTCTGATAAGGGTGAGGTGGAAGAGAATGTGTTTGCTACCAGTTCTGGTGGTTGATGGCTAAGGAGGAAAAGCTGACTAGCTGATCTGCCTATGCTTGTCTCCGGTGCCAATTAAATCCAGCCTGTGTGCCATTCTCTGAAATATCAACCTTTGCTTTAAAATAAGAATGAGGAAACAAGGCAGGTTTTCCACAAAAGTGTGTAAAAATGATAATATTGAAGTGGTGGTCAAAGCTGGCTGTCCTCACCCTTGAGTAGGACCAATTTTCCAGTTGGACATTTGAGCTGGAAACCTGTGACTCTTGGACGAACAATCAGAAGCACAGAGAGTGTGGGAAGTGGGATGGGGCTGTTCCTCTGAATCTGTCTACAGAGATCAGCTGGCTCAGGTTTGGATCCCAGTCTGTTGAGAGAGGAGTAGTGCTGAATTAAGAATTAAGGTGTCTCGAGCACTGGATGAGAGGACACTTTATTTTCACTGTAGATCTGTCATTAACTACCCATGATCTTGAGTACTTCATGACCTTGAGGCTCAATTTCCCTCTTCATAAAATGAGTTTTTGAATTTTGAGACTTCCAGTCAAGATGGCAATGTTGGTGGCAGCTACATTTACCTTCTCCCATGACATCAAAATTACAACTAAATTATAGAACAACCAACCTGAAGAACTAGCTCAAAGGCATTAACCTTGGGCTCCATTGAAGGCACAGCAGCTGGGGTGGTGGTGGTGGTGGTGGTGGTGGTGCCAGAGACATATAGGGAGAAATTGAGCTGTATAGCTTCAGGGCAAGGGCGGGAGAGACAGTCGCCATTGTCTCTATGTTGAGCCCTCCTCCAACACAGTAGGCAGGAGGGCGCCATCCATCCTGTGTTGAGCCCTCCCCACACACAGCGAAATCTGAATCTGCATTAGCCTGGTGAACACCACTTGCCCCACCCTAATGCCCCCCTGAGACCTAGTCCCACCTAATTCGTGTACTGCCCAAGGCTTTTTCAGAGGCTGAGCCTTGTGGGAAGCCAGCAGGTGGTGGCAGGCCTCAGTGATCCCTTTTGCTGAGCAGTCCCAGGACTGATACTGGTGGCAGCTGGCATTGGTTCACAGTGTTACCTTGCCCATTGCAGATCACTTTGTAGCTCCTACCAGATAGCGCCAGGCCAGTCACAGGCAGCAACTGACCTTGGCCTACACTGAAACCTCTCCCAAGAGGCCCCAGAACCAACAAACCCAGTGATCAGCTTCAGCCCACAACAGAGCACCAACTAATTAGCTCCATGAGTAGCCCACTCAAAGGGAGGTTTCAGTAGGCACCAGAACCTGCTTGGTAAATTTCATTCAGTGGGGTTAGCCCCTACTCAGCAGCTCATACGCTGTGGTCATAGAAAATTCTCACAGCCAGCCAGCCTGAGGGACAATCCCACCCACTGCTGATATGCCAACAGCAATCAAGGGTCAGCTACAACAGGAGGTCACACACAACCCACACAAAAGACATTGCTGGAGCACTTAAGTCAGGTAAACAGGGAGACTAAACCAGAAGGCCCCCTGGACACATACTACATAAGGTCACCCTGCTAAGACTATGAGACTTAGCAAATCTACCCAATGCATAGACACAAACACAGAGAAGCAGCCAAAATGGGGAGACAAAGAAACAATACCAAATGAAAGAACAGGACAAAAGTTCAGAAAAATAACTAAATGGAAGCTAGCAATCTATCAAATACAGTTTAAAATACTGGTTATGAGGATGTTCAAGGGACTTAGGAAAAGAATAGATGCACTCAGTGAGAACTTCAACGACATAATAAGCATAAAAACAGGACATAGAAGCCATAAAAAACAACCGGTCAGATATGAAGAACACAATAACTGAAATGAGGATTGAAACAGCAATTTGGAAGACAAGGTAACAGAAAACATTCAATCAGAACAGCAAAAAAAAAAAAAAAAAAAAAAAAAAAA